ATAGTATGTATGCAAGTGCTTAGGATGTGCAAGCACCTTAAATGCTGTGAAAAAGGCGTGGAAGTCACTGACAGTTCAGATTAATATTTTTGAGATAGCCTGGTGGGGAAAAATGGGAGTACCCGTAATGGTTTTCTTGTAACACTAACTTAAGAGAAGACAACTTTGTTAATGTACGCCGCAATATTCTTTGAAACGTGCGTGCGTCCGCTTAAAAAGGTCTTCAATTCGTGTGATTGATTTCATACATTTTTCTAATATATTCATCTTCTTTATTTTGAAAAAACTTTCACAGCTATATAACTAGACCACAAATCTTTAGGTAAAATTTATTTTTTTTCCTAGATATTTTGTACTAATGAGGTTAATACATACATTTTAGGTTTATGTTGAATAAACTCGTCAACATTTATGAGCCTAAAGAACCTATTGCCAACCAATTAATGCCAAGTTTGTACCTAATTTATTTTAATAATCTAAAAATTAGGACTTAATTTGCCTAATTTATTTTTGTCTGTGGCGTCTTTTAACCTTTTCTGTTCTGTGTCGGCCCACAATCAGACAAGGATGCATATCAATTTTAAGATACCTTTTAAATCTGAATGGCATTCGTCCCTTGTACCATTATAATACCCTTGACTTTTGTCGTCTGTCGCGTTTTGTCCCCTGGCTCAAATTTGTCACGGTCCCATTTTTTACCCCATGAGTAGCAGAAATGAATGACAACAGGACACAGATCCTGCGATAAAAGATCTCCATAGCCACTATTTCCTGACCTCGTGGAAAAGCCGCTAGGTAAGCGACTGGTTCGCGAAAGAAAAAGTGATCTTTACCGATAATAGATATTTATTTTCTCTGGAATACGTGGAAAGGTATTAGTACATTGATTGTCAGGCGAAATTACCCGTACGAATAATTCTGATGAGAGGACAAACATCTAAATTTGTTCGATAAATAGTATTATCCGCAAGATATACAATACTGATCTAATATAAATTATTATGTTTTTATCTTTGAGAAATATTATTTTAATAAACGTGTTGTTTTGTAAGTTTCCTGTTTCGTTTGTGCCTATGTCTACCAATTAAAAAGCCTAACTGAGACCGCTGAAAGAACCTTTTTTTAACCACCCTTAAAACGCATAATTTTAAAACAAAAATCGCAGTCTCTTTATAACATCATTTCTTACATAATTGAAAACACAAACTACAATATTTTACTTATTTAAAACTAAAAATCATAGGAATTGTTTTCATATTACTAAACGTATTTTACAAAAATATTAACTCAATAGGCTCCTTGTTTAATCTTTGTTAACACACGATCTATGAAATGTGATTTCGCAGTTGCTAGTCATTCAGACAACCGAAGGATATTGCTTTACCGCTTTGCATTGCATCTCTTTCGACAAAAATATCCGTCTGAACGACTAATATTTCCGTTGACATCTTTAGCGGTTCTTCGATCACATCATTGCCACAAATTGCATTCCGGCCGGGTAAAATTTTCTGCTCGGTAAGTTTTGTTTTCCAGGATAAATTAGTTGCACGTTCTGCGGCGAGACACTTTTCTACAAACGTCCTTACCTTTTTATCCGTTTTAAAAAGTAAAATAAATAAGTGGATGTGAGGAACAACATATTAGTGTAAAGAAAACCATCGGAATACTTCCAAAAGCCACATTTATAGCATTTCTTACTCAAGTTAAAGGAAACGCAAATTACCTAATATTTCAGCAAAATATGTGAAAACTACTCATTGTATGTACATGACCTTATTTCGAGATGCTTGAACAGATTTCAGATAAGCGATTAAAATCGTTTATCTCAATGTTGTAGGAAGATGTCCGAGAAACAATATTTTGGCAATAATCGAAAAAAAAAATAGCGAATTTCAACGGATAACGAGAATTGGCGTCATTCTTTTTAAGCGTCTGTTTTCAAACTCACATGGCCCTTGGAGTCGTTCAGATCGATTGAGAACACAAATTTTGGAGAAAATCGTCTAATCGGTTTTTATGCACGCGTTTGTACGACATCGAACGGACGTATTGCCATCAATCGATTTTTTGGTGAGAACTACAAAACACGGATTTCTGCTACACAACTTGTTAGAGGAATAATGTATTGCATGTAGGAATGAGATTTATCCACTTTATTGTGACCAAAACCCTCCAAGGTTTTCAATAAAAAAATCGCCATTTCCCGCACCCGCTACCAGTAACTTTCTCTTCATGCGAAGGGCCAAGAAAGTAAAAAAAAAAAAACACGTTTGTTAAAAAGCTGCTGGCCCAACTGAACTAAATACATGTAGTAAATCAGACAATACCTATCTTAAATGCATGATTCCTCCGTGGTGCGCATGTGTTTCCTGGGAGCGGGGGCGGGCGGAGGGGGGGGGCGTGGGTGGCGGCTGCAAGGTGACCCCGGCGGACGCCTCCGCGCCCTCGCCCTCTTCGCGCCGGTCGCCGCGCCGACCGTCCGGAAGGCCCACCACGCGACGGCCCCTCTGGGGCCGAACCAAGAGCGCCTCGTTGGTCCGTGACATGTATTAGGTAAATTTCCCCTCTCTCAAAAGAAATATTGGGAACTCCAACTTCTTGGATGTCGAGCTTCTGATTTCGCGGACTTCGATAAAAAGGAATGTTATGCATACCCGCATGGCTTCACTTTCTCTAAACTTTCTCAGTATAATTTTAAATTCGTTACTAGAACCCCATAAGGTAAAATACTCAACAAAAAAAAAAAAAAAAAAAAAAAAAAAAAAAAAAAAAAAAAAAAAAAAAAAAAAAAAAAAAAAAAAAAAAAAAAAAAAAAAAAAAAAAAAAAAAAAAAAAAAAAAAAAAAAAAAAAAAAAAAAAAAAAAAAAAAAAAAAAAAAAAAAAAAAAAAAAAAAAAAAAAAAAAATAAAAAAAAAAAAAAAAAAAAAAAAAAAAAAAAAAAAAAAAAAAAAAAAAAAAAAAAAAAAAAAAAAAAAAAAAAAAAAAAAAAAAAAAAAAAAAAAAATCTCCGGTTTTTTCTCCTTTGCAGTTCGAAATGAGCGTTTCTAAAGTTCCACTAAAGAGACGCCTTAAAGAGAGGGACAAACAACGTAAATCAAAACGAGAAGTGCTCTCTCTGCCTTTTCTGCAAATTATTTAAATGAGAATATATATTAGGTTTATAATTATGTTCTTTCAGCATTTATATTAATTATCTAATTGAACACAAAACTTTTTTTTACACAAAAATATTTGGTGTTTTCACGCAAAGTGAGAAATGAGTTTGCTGTGAAACATTTGGCATTTACATATTTTAGATTTACTTTTACTCCCGAATTTAAAATACCCCATGCGCATTATTAAGGAAAATTATTAACTGTTTTCCAACGCACTGTGGGCGGAAGGCAAATTTCAGCGGGCGAAGGACGAAAAGAGGGAAGCTGATTGGGAATTCTTTTTTCCAAATGACGTTGAAGAAGAGTCGAGAAGAATTAAACATAATTGAGAAAAAGTCAACGAAAGTTGAAACAAACTTATAACTTCTAAGCTGAAAAACTTTCCGCGGCCAGAACTTTCACATGTTACGTTTGTGTTAGTAATAGGGTTGGATTAATTCACAACCAGACTACGGACGTACTCAAATCCCATATTGGTTAGGGAATGTAAAGCATATTTTAGGAGAAAAAAAAAGGAATCAGGTCTAGCCAACCCAAATAGGTTCACGGGCCATTTCGATGACGCGTAACTTTACAGTGAGACCGACCTTTAGGAAGTACACTTAAAAAAAAAAGTATTCAATGTGAATACTTGATTTATGTATTATCATTTAATACAATTTACACTCCAGTGTTAATTAATAAAAAATTTGTTTCCTTTTGTTTCAGCTATGTATTATATATAAGTCAATATAAATTTGTGTGTTTTTCATCACCTATACATTTCCACTTTTAAAATGTCGAAATTTTGATTCCTCTCCATTCCTACACCTGTCTGACTGTAGTTCTCTACGCTGCGTCTCCCTTTCATCAGGTTGTAGATGCCATTTTTCCAGTCTCTCTAACTCTAGTAAGCACAATGAAATCTAGATGAAGGAACCGCACACAATTCACAAAAGAGACGGTCTCCAGTAGTTCCAGTCACTAAAGACGGTTTTGACGTATTTTCCTAAATCCTAAGGCTATAAGTCTATGTCCAATAGGGTGCTAGCGACATCTTTTACTCTATGCCCTTGCTGGAAGCTGAAAGAATTTTCATCATTGTTTCCTGACTAACAGCATGCTGCTATCACGCGACTGTGCATGGTGAGGGCTAATTAAAGTGTATTCTGGTTGTGGGAACATGTCATAACATGGTCTACTTCAGAGTTCCCGACCTTATAGTGTATACGTCCCCAAAATGGTTCGTTTTGTCGCCATTTCTGAATTGCGTTTCCTCAGGCTTGGAGAAATGTAAAAGTACGCAGAAAGTGTGAGTTTCGCGGAGCAATTCTTTAAACAATTTACTTATGTTTAAAGAACCTTTTAAGCTTAAATGACTTAAAATTTATCAGTGCAGTATTTGACACGTTATGATTGTCTCAAAACACCACCTTGTGCAGATAGGGTCACGTATTGGGCTTAGCTCTATGTTTCGTCAGTGCCCAAGAAAAGTGACTCACACATAAAATTATTATTTTGCAGAAGAAGTTTTTTATTCTGACACAGATCGATGTTGTTTATTTAATGGTCGAAGAGAAAGCTTTACTCTTCACATGGGCTGCCTTGCTAAATAATAAATATTTTACAATAAAAACAACTATTCTCTAAACATATTTCTACACGTAAATAGAAAGTAAGGGTTTTTGACAAGAGTGTCGCTCCCTCTGCCGAATACGTGCCACTCGCGCTGCCAGCTGACTACAACCGCTGCCCTGCGCAGTGAGGATGAGCGGGGCGGGGAAGGACGCGAGATATCGCGAAAGCGGGAACGCCCCTCACAAGTGGAGCGCCCGTCCGCCCGGGTGGCCTCCCCCTCCCCCTCCCCTTCCCCCTTCCCTTCGAGCGGGTGCGATGGAGATCTCTGGACGCGGCGGCCGCCGCCAGAGGACCACACGCTCCCGTTTCCCAAGTTGGGCGCTTCGGCGGTGAAGAAACCTCCCGAGAAGGCGAGGCGGAACCCGCTGGCTTATCCAAACCGCAGGGTGAAAAAGCGCTCTAATGAATGGGCTGGTCCACCGTTGTTTTTACTTTCTCGTATTACAGAGAAAGTGGGTACCAGAAATATAAACGAAGGCAATGGGGTTCAATGTGTTCCATAGTATTATTGGAAAATAGTATAACTGAAAGAATCGCCAGGTTATTATCAAAAGCAAGTCAAAGATAAGCCCGTATTGTACATTTTGATTTTAAAAGATCAAAGAACGATTTTTATTAAAAAGTTACGGAGCTGTAGTGAGGCACAATAATAACAAAATAAAAAAAATGTCCACGATATAATGAATCAAAGCAATAAATCTTTCGATTTTTTTGTTTTAGTTGAATGTTATTCATTTCAATGTGTCAAATGTAATTTAGGTTTTGTGTGAAACAAATTAAGCACTAGGCACGTTGAACGGGATTCAAACGGATTAGCCTGTTACTCTTCTCAATAGACTTCGTGTTAATGGCAGTGAGATATAATACTGTTACTTTCCTTCGAGGCTACGGAGGAGAAATGAAACTCATACCTTTACGTTTGGTTTAAAGTCAAGCTCATGGAGTAAAGTAGCCGACCGGTTTCAGATTGGGTTGCCGATGGCTATACTTTCATCGAGCATTGCTCGTACTACCTCAGATTTTGACCGAATGTGTTCATCTTTATTACCAAGTTATATATCTTTTTCGTATAACAATCAAGGTAGAAATGTGAGTAAAAATTAATTCCCGATAACTAAGAAGAAATGCGCTTTCGCTTCGAAATAGACGTAGGGCACTCAGTCACTGAATACAAATAATAAAATTAAGATTTCCAAAAGTACTTCAGTTAAGGGCTATGGTCAGGCGCCTTTCTAATACTCGACCTTTTGTACTAAAACTCCACAGAATCTTGGAAATGCACCTTGTTATGTTGGCCGTATAACAGTCATAAGGTTTTACACCAGAATTTATCACACAGCAACGGTGTCAGTAATGCACCGATTGCCAACAAACACGAGTGACTTGCTTCAAAGTGAAAGAGCCTTTTCGATTTTGGCACACTCCATTCTCAAGATGTCTCTGTGAGAAACGAACGAAACCTCAGGTGACAGGAACAGTTTCGGATCTGTAAATTGGAGCAGCCAGATACTTTCTCAACTTTCTCTGATAGTTAAATAGCTGGAATGCTTATGGAATAGCTGGCAATCTAAAATAGCTGGAATGCAACCTAGACTCTATGTCAAACGTATTGAGTATTCACGTTCTCACTAGAAACAGTAATATCAATATCTAAAATAAAAATAGGTGATGAGTTACAATGTTTGAAAACTATAACATAAATGTTGATAACAAAAAGTAGATTCGTTCTTTCCCTATAATTCCTCTGTAAAAATAGGAATAGAATTCGGTGATGACATGTATTACATAAAGTATTAACTTCTCCATTCGACGGAGCATCTGCATGATCAATGATATCGATTATTTTACGAATATTCTATTTACATTTTTCTTGCACAGAAATGAGGGGATTATAAGCGAATATTTGTTGATAATACCATAAGACACCACAAGTAGAATATGACAAAGGAGAATGAGATAATTAAGGAAAAATGAACAGATGGAACCAAGAACGAATTTCAACCGAAAACCAGACAAAAGAAAGCTCTAGAGATAAAAGCGACACCGGATTAGTAAAAGAAGAGAACAAATCAAAGAAAAGAGAAAGCGAGTGCATGAGAAGAAAAAAAAGAGATGAGCTAATGAGGTGATGTTAGAGGAAGGACATGATGGTGCTAAGAGACAAGCAGAATAAAGAATGAAAAGAATAAATAGAAGACAAGAGAAAACGAGCCAAGATAAGGACTGGAAGAACTAAAGAAAAAAGTCTTGAAGAAACACATTTACATGAGAGAGGGAGAAAAAATATGACAGGCCTACAAACGGAGAGGTCGATAAAGAAACAGACCGAGAGAAAGATAGAAGAGAAACGTGAACGAAAGTGAGAGGAAGAAACGCAGAGAATAGCAAAAGGAAGCCCCGGGTGGTTCCGGTCGCCCCGGAGCCGCAGCATTCACCACGCGTCGTTGGCGCTCACCCGGCCGTCGCCGACCGCTGGCGGGCGCCCAGGCAGTCTGCTCTCCCCTGCGAGGCAGACCCACCCGGCCAGCACCCACCGGGCCGCTGCCAGCCGCACGGGAGGCCGAGTTTCTCCGGGCGCAATGCCAGGGCGGGCGTCGCCACTGGCCGCCGGCGCCGACGGGCCCTTTCGCCTACGCTGCCCCACGCCCCACCACCCACCATCTCCGCGCTGCCGCCACCGCTCCGACGCCGCCACCCTGCTGCCACTCCGGCCGCCATCGCCCAGTTGTTATCGCCCCGCTGCCATCGTCCTGACACCGTCGCCCCGCCGCCAGCCTCTTCAGAGTGGACTTTACGCTATCGCTTCTGCATCCTGCTCGTCCTCCTACAGTATCGTCTCGACTTCCGCCTCCACCCCCGCCTCCGCTACAGGTGCCGCCCAGCCGCCGCCGTCCCGTCGGCCCGCCACCTCCATCGGCGCCGCTGCTGTCGTTGCCACCGGCACTTCCGCCGCCGCCGCCGCCGAGCTCTTGAGAACGCGGCCTGGTCTACGAAAGTGGCGCACGGAAGCGGCTGATGGGCTGATTAGCCCTGGGAGCGTTCGCTGATTATGAGATGGTTGACGGACGTGTTTACTTTGGTGGGGGAAAGTTAAAATCGAGTGAGAGAGGAATTTCGTCGTTAAAGAGGTCGTGAACTGGTTAACCAATGAGTACGATACGAGCAATAAATGATATTTACGACCTCTGCGAATTTTAAAACGAATAATTGGGTCTTTAAATCGGGTACGCCGAACTGGGTTTCACTCGCAAAATAAGAATGTTCATTAATTTCTATTATCTTCGTCATGCATCATCTCGGTACCTGGGACGAGAGCAAGAGTGCTGCGACAGAGTGGTTTCGTGGAAGCAGATCTACCTTCGGGGCCGTTGATATTTTCACGTTCCTCACGTTAGACCAAACTACAGTGACCCTTATTAATATGAAATACTGAAAATGTTCATTCAAAATCAATACAAAAAGAAAACTAGAACCTTTCAGTTTACAAATTCAACACACAAATAATAAACGTAAATTAAAATAAATATCGCCTACATTTTTGCACTGCAAATTTGTGTCAAAAATGTATTATTTAGTTTTCAAAATTAGAATTAAATGAATTCCTTTTGCGTATCGTTAATAAAATTAATAATGATGTTTTAAGTTTTCGTGAACAAATATAAATTATTGTTTTGTATTAATTAGCGCAAAGCACGTGCTTTGCCTGCTTGCACATAACCCACCCCCAGGCCGTCGTCCATGTGGTGCGAGGCGCAAAGCCTTCGCCGGCGCCGAGCCGCCCCATTAGCAGGGCGCGTGCCCATTAGCGCGTGGCAGCGGGGGCTTGGCCGGCACGCGCCAAGAGCGCGCCCGGCGCCCCGCCCCCCTTGGGCGAGCGCGTCCCGCCGCGCACGACACAGGCCCAACAGAGGACAGCGATGCAAATGATGATCTCCCACGGAGAGATGAATGTCTCGATTCTGGAGGTGATACTGGAGGGAAACAGTGCAGCATGTGCTGCCTCTGCTACAATAACGTATTTCCATCGAATTGTGGACTTTTTTTGTTTCGGTTTGTTTTGTTTCTTGTTTGTTTGTTCGGTGTCGACCACCTGGGAATACTTGCTTTCTGAATGCACCTCGTATGCTTGCCTTGAGTCAATGAGCAGCACCGAGCATTGGTAGCACCCTCCAAACAGCGAAAAAAAAGTATCCCACAGACATGCGCGAGGTATATTTGTCCGTGATCTTTTTTAATGGATAATAAAAACTGACTAACTTCATGTGCGGACGTTGATACACAAGACAGAAAAAATATATTCATGAACTTAACTGGAGTGAAAGAACAAGACAATGTCAAAACAACTAAAAGAGGATAGAGAAACAAAACAATTTTTCCAGCTGCCGAATTACATGTGTGTAAACTTTTATTTCCGAAGATCTGTAAATAATGCAATAGAAATATAATTCTATAGACCTTCCTGTAATACTTGTTTCTCTTCTGCGTATTTTGGATTTTTCCGAAAACAGGAAATTTTCAACTAAAGAAATTAAAATAGAAACTCTATTGAAAGTCATCATGAAACAAATGGAATTATATTATCGAGCAATATAACATAACTTGCTTTGATACATATCTTCTTCAAAATCTTAGGTCATTCGTTTAAGTTTTCCTTTTGTCAGCCAGAGTCGTGTTCAGCGTAGGTTTCACTCCTAAAGATAGAACTTGCAGTCGTCGCAATGGCGTTATCTAGGACAGCGTCGTCGCTGAGCTTTCGAGAACGCAAATGGGAGACAGAAGCACAGAGCGCAGCCTCCTTAGAGAAGTGCTAGGCAAGAATATGAAATGTTGAATGAACGGCATTCACAATTAAGTGAAATTTCTGAATAAAAATTCTAAATAAAATTCACTGAAGAACGAACGTTATTGATAATTGTTATTGCGAATTGTACCTTCGAGTCTGATACATTTAAAATATTTTTCTCATCACGAGAAAAGTACATTCTGAATAAGTTATTCAACACAAAAAATGCGAAACTTCTGTGTAACCGAGCCATTTTATTTATTTACATTGGAAACTATATTGGTAACTGGTACAACGTTAGTGTTGATACAACAGTTTCAAACAAAGAAAATGATGATATTATTATTTGGACCCACTTGATTATACCTTGCTTTTGAAAGATTTTATATAAAAGCAAATTAAAAGTGGAAACGCAAATTTTGCACAGTTTTTACGAAACTTTCATATTATATCGCACAATGTATTTAAATGGAGTCTGTGCGTATGTCCTAGTTTTCTCGGAAATATAGTTATTCAAATATTCGCTCTCTATGTTCTTAGTCTTCGTCAGGAAGTCGATTCCTTCACGAAGGGCACGAAGAGTGATAAAAACCAAAACGTATGGTTGATTTGCCTTTGCAAATAGATTTTATTACATTAGAGCAATTTTTGTAATAAATTCTTACCAAGAGAGGTCATTTTCATCTGTGTTCACAATTTAACGTGTGTATGGTTTGAGTAAGGATCCAAAAATTGAAAACACGTGTGCAGAATACACTTCTCCCCATACAACGTGACACACAGTTTTTAACATTAAATAAATAAAACAAAAAACGCTCCGCCGATAAGTTACTCTTGACAGAGATCACGTGCAACTCATTGAGAACAAGAAGGTTCAGACGAAGGCACCGGAAGAGCCAGCGGCAGTGGTGGAAGTGGAGGAAAAGCAGGCGGAGAACAGAAGAGGAATCTTTCCCGGGTGGCCGGTTCCCGCGATTGTTCCAAATGAATAGAGTTCAGGGCGTGGAATAGACGTGAGAAAAAGGGTCATCTCAGTATGGACTGACAGAAGCTTCCTTCATTTTCACGCTGTCTGAAATTCTGTCTTCCAGAGAAACGAATGCCTTTTGGATGTATGCCAGCACCGTTTTCGTCCTTTCATCTCTCGCCGTTCCAGAATCTCACTCATTTGTTCGGGTGCTCCTCGAGTTACTCCCCATTGGCTACCGAGATTACGAAGCAGATGATTGCCTTCATACCGTTACATCACTTACTAAAATTACAGCGTTGGCGAGTCGTTCGAATTCATGACATCGGGCCCAATTGAGGAGATGGAACGAGATCAGCCTCCCAGGCCGACGATCATGTTTCATTTTCCGACCGTCCGACCCAGCGCCGAAATGCTTGTCGGACACCACTTGGGTGGTACTTTGCGAGGTTGTAGCAGTGCTAACGGCAACCTCGGTTGAGGATAAAAGCGGTTTTGTGGGACATCAACAGTGCAACGGATTAACTCTATTCACGTCTTTTCGTGAATTGCTAACCCAATTTTGCTTTTTCAGTTCCTGAAATGCTTGGAAGCTTCAAAAAGCTCTATGCGCTACTATATAACTGCTTAATGGTTTATTTGATTTTTCAACGTAAAACACATGGTCTCTATTTTGAATTAACATTTCATTAATTGTACATATATTACGAATGTTACTAGTCAACAATGAATCATCTATTAAGTATAATTTTTGCCAATATATCAAATATATTTACATTGAGTGAATCTGTACTATAGTAGAGATTCAAGCGTAGATGCTCGAGTGTATTTGAAAATCTGCTGTTTGCTCGTAATGAATAAGCCCTGTCGACCACTTGTTTCATCGTCGCGGGTCAGAGGTTCTACAGACCACAGGCTGAGAAACGCTGAATTATTCCATTATTCTTTGCTCCCATTTCCCTCTCCTACTAACGGAAGGACTTCTAGGTCAATTACTCTCCCGAAATGACAAATAATTCTGCCTAATACTCTGCGGCCCGATCTTGGTTGGTACTTGGTGGTTTGTGGTTCGTAGTCCATGGTTTTTTGGCAATTGCTTTTTATTTACTAACTTTTCATTTTTCATTTAAACGAAATGGAAAATAAATTATAATTAGTTCTTTAATTTTTTTACACAATAGCGAATAGTTTAATAAAATAAATTCCTGAAATTATGTTTTATTAGGTTCCAGTAAGTTAAATCTTGACTAGGGCATTATTCCTGGGATTTCATTTAAAGAACTTTATTTTAATGAAAATTCGTGCTTTAAAAAGGATATTCAGTATATTTCCGAGTGTATATTAATATTTTCGTTCCTCTTTAGACGATTATATTTAGATAAGTACTGCATGATAATTGAAGTTAAAACAGACAAAACATATTTTTCGATCGTGAGAGCAATGTACTAATGTGAATAGATCGAACTAGAGCACTCCACATATGAATACCTTGCAATCGACCTGCCGACTCGAAAGAACTTGTTGCCCCTTAACTGACGGTTCCATTCATCCCTCTTTCGTTTCTACTTTCTCACAGCTCTTCTAACTGG